AATTCACAGGAGTGCTATACAGCAAAATGTGACATTGAACCACGGAAGCAGATTGAGCACGTGACCAAAAGCTTGGCCAAAGAGGTGGGTTTTAAACCACATTTTAGGGAAGGAAAGAGAGGTAAATGAGTGGAGAGGCTGAGGGAAGGAACTTCAAAGCTTGACAGCTCAAGGTATGGCCACTATGGTGGAGCAATCAAAATGACAGACGTCAAGAAATTGGAATTAGAAAAGTACAGATAACTGAAAAAATTTGGGCTGGGGTATTCTGCAGGAAATTAGAGTGGTAGAAGAGCCAGGGTGAGACACCATGGCCAGATTTGAAAATAAAGGTGATGTTCTGTTTTTTGAAGACAATCAGTGGACACAAGTCGGGGAAATAGCTTTCAAACACAGGACCTGGTGCAAAATAAGGGTACTGGCAGAATTTTGGAAAAGCTGATTTAGAGGGTAGATAGAAGACAGGAGGCTGGTTAGAAACACAGTGAAATAGTCAACTCAAGAACTAACTATGATAAAAATGAAGGCTTCAGCACAAATGAAATGAACCAGAACTGGAGTTAGGAAAAGCTGTCAAGATGGAACTAAACAAACAAATAGTCTCAACTGGGAGGTCAAACAGATCAAGGGAACGTATAACCTGGTTTAGATTCGGTCAGTTGGTAGGGATAGGAATGGAGTCACAGATACAGAGGTTGCAAACAATCTGATTTAGCCAGAAACTGTGGCCTACAATAGGGAAGGAACAAGTGACAAGGGTATAAAGCATATTATGCAGCATAAAGACAAAGACAATGTCTTTACCTTTCCAAAAATTACAGAATGTGAATGGCAGCTCATTCTAGATTTGATCTGAGGTGGCTTGATAAAACAAATCTTGTTCAAATTGCTTTTGCAAAACTTTGTGGGGCTTTGCAGTTGTAAACATAACAATTATATCACCTGAGGTTTAAATAGTAACAAGTCACTCATCACAGGATAGCTCTTTACAATTATTTCTCAAGCTATTGCACCCAAAATATTCATACTTTGTAACAAAGATCTTTACACACCACGCTATGAAAACTTGCCTGTTTACACATACCTTCAATATCAGAGACCACCATCATCTGTGGCTGAGAAAGGCCTTCTTGTAGACAGTAGAAATGAATGGTGCTATCAAAGGTAATAAAACCTATCCTTGTACGAGAATCACCAGGTAACCTTAAAATTTTAAAACAAAGCAGAATCATTCTGGATCTGAATACTAAACATACTGCTTGAAGCTTTAGTCAGTTTAAGGCAAACTATATTGTGGTCTTTGCCAAATATGACTGTCTTGACAGAGATCTCAAATACGATAACTTTAATTGCATTGTATGTGCAAATGCAAACTCAAACAACAAACCAACTTGCAGCCTTTATTTGAAGACACTACACTGTCAGGTCATTGACTGAAGTATTGCTTGCAAAACTGCCTTAGGGATCTTACACCCACAACTCAGTAATTAATTATAAATCCAACATTTAGGTTCAATTGGTCAAGGAATTTCAGGCTAAATGATCCTAGAGTACTAAGTAGAAGCAGGATTAAAGCTACAACTGAGTACAAAGGAAGGATCCTGAAAAGAACCTAGCTGGAATTTATTCCCTTCAAGAAATGCTAGCTTCCAGACCTATGCTCTCACTGCCTTTCGAAGTTAGAATCAAAGAAAAAACATACTCCTATTATAATGCTCTAGTGCTATTAACCTGGAAGACAGTATCCATGACAAGCAACTTGCCTTCCATCCTAAGCATTCCAGTGTCAAATAATTTTGAAAAATGGTCTGGCACCTAAAAGAATTATATATTTTTTAGATATCTCTCTTGAGATCCATAGTCACAAGCCAAATTTAAAAGATGCTATTTATTTAGTGTGCCAGCATGTTGCTGTATGAAAATGTTTCTTCATATTAGAGATCCAGATAACAGAAAACAGTACTCAATAACAAAGTCAACTGACTTTTTTTCTCTGCCCGAGTTTAAGTATTTTTACTTTGCTGTTCCAATCAATTTGAAAAAGATGCAAAATTTTTTTTGTTCGCTCCTTTCAATTATTTAACAGGATGCCAACTCCTTGGCATAGTACATTTCCTACATTTTCCTTTTCCTAAGTGATTATCATTGAACCATGTACAAATCATTATTGCACATACTTAATTCACCAAGTAACTGTGACATGTTTATGAACCACTTGACTTCATTCAATACATGTTACATGATCACGCAGGAGCAAAAGAAATTCAGAAGGGACACCAAAAAACAAACAAGCTGACATAAGATTCCATTCAGCAGGGAATGCATGAAGAGATCCAACACCATCTCAAGGGATTGTTTTGATATTGGTTGGTCGGAAAAAGCCAAAGTGTGCACAAGATATTGCAGTTAGGAATTTTAATGCAAAACATTGCAAGCAATCATTTCCAGAAACAACTGTCATTTTAGTCAACCTAGAATACAAATATTTTGCAGGAACTTGGTATATTTGGACTGGGCAGCTTGATGTGTGCAGTGAAAACTTGATGATATTTGCTGATTGAGATGTGAAAATAATCAAACACATGGAACTGTGAAAATGGTAACAGCTCAACTCTGCAGAACATGGATACAAAGTTCTATAGGCCCAGTCCTCAGTTAGGGGGAGATGATGGCCTAATGATTATGATCACTGGACCAAGCTATCCAGAAGTCCAATTGAATGGTCTGGTAGATGAGTTAAAACTACACTGCAGCAAACCATGGAATTTAAATTCAGTTTGTAAATCTGGAATTGAAAGTTAGTCTCAGTGATGACAATTGTCATAAAAGCCCATCTGGTTCACTAATGTATTTTAGAGGAGGGACTTGGCTATTCTTATAGGTGACTGACCAACAGCAAACGTGGTTGACTGTAATAAGACCATAAGACATAGCGTTAATTGACTAAATAGCATTCATGATTGCACAGACTGCATGCAATTTGCTAGAGGAACAACCATGGAATGACAATTATTCAAGTCATGATATGATGTTACCAATACCCAGTAAAATTCCAATAAAGAAAGCATAACCAGTTTTCCACTTTCTTTAACATCCCCTCAACAGAAAAGGGTAGGAGCCTGATTATTATATGAGCATATCTAAGTTTAAATAATAAAAAACTTCAACACCTGTCAGGTCCAAACTTCATTCTAATTGGAAAAAAAATTTACTGGAAATGATAATCTGCCTAATTAATTGCAGATATGAAGGTGGACAGCCTCAAGGCTAACATCCAGCTTTCCGTATATCATTGCTCTTTAACAGCATATCACACAATTGGTCACCTTTTAGAGAACTATGCCTATACCAGATCTATTAAAACTGGCCACAATGAATCCACACTTCAAGAGAAAACAGGTGAGCCAAATAAATTCAGAACAATGAACCTGTGAACAGTGCAGTAGTAGCGTCCCTACCGTTGAACAAAAAAATCAAGGTAGAGGTATCATCTGCCACAAAGCCATGTCCTAACAAGTCCAAGCAGGTCTACTGCAAAACATTTTTTTGTAATATAGTAGTGAACCTTACAGATCCGATTTCTGTTTTACAGTCCAAGGCATAGAATTATTTACATTCAGACACAATAGCTAAGTTCCATTTGCTGTGCTTCTCTGGCCCAAAACCTGGCAACTTCTGCATCTGAACATAAACTACATGACTAGATATTTAAGCAACTGTAATTTTGAATATTAAAGATTCACTGCAGCCAAGTAAAAATAAAAAAACTCTACATCAAAAACTCTTCACATCGTATGGAAAAAAAACTTACCCGTCCAAATTATCCAATAGTGACTGGCAGACAGCATTTAAGTATCCAGACTCTATTGCATTATGGGACACATCCAAGACATAAAGATAAACTGCAGGTTGCGGTGGTCGCAGCTAAAAAAACAAATATTGATGAAGTATGCACAATATCTTTAATGGAGAGTTACAAAATGTAATCATGCAATAAAACAAGTAGAAACACTTGTAAAGCACTTTAAGGGGAGGTGACAGCCTACTGTTATTATTGCTGAACTGTTAATCAAGAGGACCAGGTAATGATCTTGGGAACGGGGTTCAAATCCTGCCATGGTACATGGTGGAATTTGAATTCAATAAAAATCTAAAAGTCGATTACATGAATCCATCGTCAATTGTCAAGAAAAACCCATCTGGTTCAGTAACATCTTTAGGGATGGAAACCACCATCCTTACCTGGTCTGGCCTACATGCGACTCCAGACCCACAGTGATGTGATTGACCTTTAACTGCCTTCTGAGCAAGTAGTGATGGGCAATAAATGCTAGCGTGGTCCACTTTAATGATTTAGGAAAAAATGCAAATTATGGTCTGCTTAAACCAGATTGGTAAAGTATGTTAATGCAATTGAAAACAGCATAGATTTGTTTCTGGAACTATCTCCAGACTCTGAAGATTGTCGAAACAAGGTTAAATTTTCAACATCTTATGGGCATTATTTTGGCTTTTCAAGATGTTTAAATCTTAACATACTGAATGAAATACTTATATACTGCACTTTTCCTCCCCAATAAAGAAATAATTTCTATCATTAATTAAAATGGACATTCCATATTAGCAGATATTGCTGTGGTATAAAACTAGTTTATAGACAGATGTACGACCCACACTCTAATTCATGGCTCACCAGTCCTCCGTGGAAGGAGTAGCTTACATTTCAGCAGTCACGAATGACTGAGAAACAGCTGTGCGCTCGTAACTTCATATCCTGCAGGTACGGGGACCATATTAAGGTCCGGGGAGGCATGGTGGCGCAGTGGTTAGCATTGCTGCCTCACACCACCAGGGACCCGGGTTCGATTCCACCCCCGGGTGACTGTCTGTGTGGAGTTTGCACGTTCTCCCTGTGTCTGCGTGGGTTTCCTCCGGATGCTCCGGTTTCCTCCCACAGTCCAAAGATGTGCAGGTTAGGTGGACTGGCCATGCTAAATTGCCCAGTGTTCAGGGATGTGTGGATTAGGCGGATAGGTCTGGGTGGGATGTTCTTTGTGTCGGTGTGGACTTGTTGGGCCGAAGGGCCTGTTTCCACACTGTAGGGGTTCTATGATATTAAGATGCTGCCAGACCTGCTCTTTTTCTCCAGCAATATCGTCATTTCAGATTTTCAGCATCCGTAATTCTTTGCCCATCTTGAAGTTCTGCTCCTCTCTCCAACAGAATTTCCATTCTAATCTTTCTTCTTGCCCACCATTAGTTTCATTGTCCTTCCTACTGTTTGACAAGTTATTTGCCAAAACTCCCCTCCAGACCCACATGGCAAACCAGTGACTGTCTGACTCAGACTCACTCCACGTGGATTCCAATTGAAGTTTTGTCTCTCGTGTTTCCAATCCATGTGGGATCACATGGTGTACAATCCTCCTTAGACAGGTGTTGTTGCTGCAAGCCAAGATTCCGCACTGAGTGCCACGTACAGCCATTTGCAGTCTTGATCAATCAGTCTCTCTCATTAGCACTGCTTCACGTTACCTCAAAGCTGCCCTGCCCCCCAGTTCAATCTTTGGCTTGTTCGAGGTTCTAACAAGAAACCTTTTCTCTTCCTTCCACGCATGAAGGAAGAAAAGCTGCATCAACTCAGAGGTACCCATGCCTCTCTGTAACCTTCCTCCCCTTCTCCTCGTCTCCATGCCATCTCATAACCGCTTGCTGGTATTTAGTATCTCTTTTGATAGTTCACTCTCCAGTGCTGAACGTTCTGTACTGAAAGGCCTCAGTCTCTCTGCGTCCCCACCTTAACGAATTTTGGATATGATGTTGAACTCTTCTTCCATCACCTTCGTCTCCATTTCTTTGGGCAAGAGTCCTCTCCTCATCGTACAGACCCCTTCACCCAGAGCCCTCCCCCTGGCCTTTTACCTGCAGTTCTGCTATTCATCAAGAACGACTGGCATAACATTGATAGCCTTACTTTGCATGGCCCCAAACCCCTCCCCACTTAGACCTCTTCCCCTCTGAACTGACTACACTCAGTGCTCTTGACTTGGTAATTAAACCTGCCAGTAAGGATGTTGCTGTTGTTGTCTAGTGTGCTAACCTCTACATTGCAGTCACCTCCTCCTATCTCCCCTTGGACCATGACCTAATGGGGTCAATATGTACACAACAGTCACTAATCTCATCATTTCAGGGGATTGAACACCATTCCCCTTGCCGTCTCAGCCTCCAAGCTCAAAGTCCCCCAGTCCTGTATAGTCTGCTTCTACTTTCTTCTCAAATAGGAGTGTCCAGATAAACCCACTTCTACCTGTTCTTGCCGCACAGAACTTTTTCGTACCTTGACTCAATTTTTCTCCCCTTGTCCAGTCCCTTCCTAATTACATGTGCGATTCTTCTGACACTTTACATTAGTTTTAGAATTACCAGTTCCATGGGAACCAGCTGCCTGCTCTTAACCATGGATATGTAATTTTGTTTCATGTCCATCGCCCATCAGGATTGTCATAGGGTTCTCGGCTTCTTCCTAGGAGGAAAAAGGTCTGAACTGCTCCCGTCCACCACCACCCTCCTCTACCCAGCCGTGCTCATCCTCACTTTGAACAACTTCTCCTTTAACCCCTTTTACTTTCTTCAGATCAAAGATATGGCAATGGGTGCTTATGCATAGCACCCAATTGTGCCTGTCTTTTTGTGGGCTACATGGAACCTTCCTTGTTCTAATCCTGAACTCTCCAGTCATTCCACACAAGTCTTTCTCTGGTACATCGATGACATCATTGGTTCTGCCTCCCTCTCCTGCCTGGAATTGGATAAGTTTACCTATTTCGCTTCCAAATTCCACCCTGCTTTCACCTTCGCCTGGTCCATCTGACTCCTCCCTTCCCTTCAACACCAGATTCCATTTCTGGACATAGGCTGGTGACCAATATCCACTACAAAACCACCAACTCCCAGTTACCTGGACTATACATCCTCACACCCTGTTTCCTGTAAGGACTCCATCACATTCTCCCAGTTACTCCATCCCTGTCACATCTATTCTGATGATGCTACCTTCCGCAGGGCGGCCTGAGAAATGGCTACCTTTATCCCTCAAGCAAGGAGTCCCCTCCACAGGGCTTAATAAAGCTCTCAGCCATGCTTGAACCATTTCCTACACTTCTACCCTCACCCCTTCTCTTCCTTCTCAACATACCAAAAAGAATTTCCTGGTTCTCATTCACCATCCCACCAGCATCTACATCCAAAGGATCATAAGCACTGTTTCCCTCACTTCCTGTGGGATGTCACCACTAGACACACATTCTCTTCTCCTCCCTTGTCCGTATTCTGCAGGGAGTGTTCCCTCCAGGACATATTGGCTCTTTCCTCCTCCATCCCCCAATGGCACGTTATATATACAATTGTGGAAGATGTAATACCTGCCTGTTTACCTCCTCCCTATCAAGGCTCCAAACATACCTTCCAGGTGAAGCAGTGATTTACCTGTACTTCACTCACTCAATCTCGTCTACTGTATTTGTTGCTCACAATGTGGTCTCCTCTACAGTGGAGAGATAAAATGCAGGCTGGGTGACCACTTTGCGTTGACCTACATGATGTCTGCAAAAATGAACAAGTTCACACTTCCAGTTGTGTGCCACTTCTTTACACATTACCATGTTCCTTGGCCAACATCTCTGTTTCAGTGCTACAGTGCTCCAATAAGGCTCAACGTGAGCATGTGTACAGCATCTCATTTTCCACTTGGGGACCATGCGCCCTTCAAGCCTCAATATCGAGTTCAATAGTTTTAGGGCCTGAACACATTCTTCCATGTCCTTTACCTACCCACCCATCCAGCTGCACCCCCCCTCCCACCCTGTGTGTGGTCATCACATGGGCTGCTTTCAGCACTGCCAAATTATTTTCACCCAATTAAGGTCCCCATTATCAGTTTTTCTCCATTCCTTTGCTTGCATAACTGCTTTTCTTCTCCCTCTGGGCTCTGCCTTCACCCATCCACTCATTCCTTTATACCATCTTTTTCCAGCTGCTCCTAGTTGTGAAGAGGAGTCACTGGACCCAAAATGTTGACTCTGCTTTCTCTCCAAAGATGCTGGCAGACCTGTTGTGTTTCTCCAGCAATTTCCATTGTTGTGACTATTAGCTATCAGAAAAATTTGCAAGGTACCAGTCTTTTACTTCTCCCTTCTGCCTAACTGCAACTATATTGGTGTAGAAAGACAGAACACTGACATTTTAAGCCTGTTCCTATTTCAATTTATGTTGTTGTGACAACTGGTGCATTGTATATGGGTTTAATGACAGCTAACTCTTCATTTCAGGATAGCATAACACCAGGTCACTTATAAATTTAGTCAAGGTACAAATGATCTAGAATGAATATGTAACTTTTTCCAAGCATTTATGGGTGTCACTATTGGTTCAGTGATGCATACCCTCAACAGTCAAAGGAGTTTAGATTTCTTCCATTCTATAGACTGGAGAACAGAATCTAAGCAGACACTCCATTGGAGTGCTAACTGAATGCTGTCGAAGGTGCCAGTTTTTACATGGGCGCGGATATCAATTTTGAACAGCAGGAAATTTATGCCAGTGGCCTGGTCAATACTTTTCCTTCAATGAACATCAGTAAAATCTAATACCATTAAAAGTTATCAAGATTCTGACATTTAGTAGTCAGCCCTTGAAGTATGGATCCTCATGTTCCCTTGTTGTAACAGCGATTACACTATTGTATAGCGTATATTAACTTTAAGAATTTCAAAGCGTTTTGGGACATCTGGAGATTGTGTAAATTGGTTTAAAATAACTTGATTTCATTTAGCTCCAGTACCTCATGGAAACAGATACTTTACCATTTAGAAGTTGTTAAAAGCTTCCTGGCTGGCACACGAACTTGAAACAGATAAAGAATGCTAAATAGTTGGCAAAGTATCCTGTACTAAACATTACTCAATTGCAATGTTAAAGCTAATTTAGAATCTCACAGAATTCAATCGTTTTTCATGTTAGACTTGCTTTGTAAACCAAAAGGACACAATTCAGCATCACTGAAAACATTTAGCAGAGGATAGAGATGAACAATAGTTTAAAAATTAAAAAAACAACTAGACTCACCATGTACTCTGAAGGAGCAATAAATTCTATAGTAGCACTTTGAACTTCAGGTCGCTTATGTGGCTCTCCATAAGATCGAGTCACAGGGTTGTACATGAATTCTTCAGGAACTAAGTATCAACACAACAGTTTTAGAAGTTCATACAGGTAATGCACAACTACAAAGTCAGCGCAAAACTGTTGTTTAAATTTGCATTTTTGTATGCTTGCACTCATCTGGATGAACATGTCGGTACTAGATAGTGGAAGATCTCACACTTTAGGTGCCTGACAAATGTATTCTGATCATCTCATACACTTATGCCCTGCTGTAGTGAATGGGTCATATCAACTTAAAGAGTACCTCTGTGTGCCATGTTTGCATTTGCTATCCCACATCATTATTAAACTGCTATTGGTAGGCAGCTCAGTCCTGAATTAGAGGACAGCACAAGAACAGCCCATTTAAGTGACCACAAAGCTACTTGAATTTTGTTTCCCAGCTGTTTTGAGATTAGTCATTTCTCTTGCAGTTTAATCTCTCAATAATTCTGTGCGACTCCACCAGTCAAGTGTTAATGCAGAGATCCAGTGAAATATTTTTTCCAGAATTCATTTCACATCACTGTAAATCCATAACTTATGCTTGTTGTTACCAATATTTTGTAATTTTTAAACAATTTTATTAGACTAAAACAGCACTGCAGGTTTCACGAAGGTGCAAAATAATTCCATCTTCATGCAACATCGCAACTGAATACAAAACGCTAAATAACCTGCATGCGAGAAAGATCAAAACTCCTGCCTCCCAGTCAACTGCTCTAAATTCAGTAAGAGAGCTAAGTGAAATTAGTTTGCACTGGTGCTTGTCTAAAAGTGTCCCTAAATTGCATCTTGAATTTCTCTATTCCAGTGAAGTCCACGTGTAAACGAAATCCCCTCCTTCTAAGAGGAGAGCCTTGCATGCCACAAAACATGACGGCACATTAACAGCAAAAGTGTCTATTTGGTGGTTTGTACTAGTCGTGCTCAAAGGCTATTTATCTATTCACACTCTTTTGCCTGGAGGAAATAGTCATGAGTGTTAATTTTAAGCTATTATTCCTTTAAGCTCCCCTCACTACCAATTACCTATACTTGTCAACAACTGAGCAATCAAAAATTTAAGAATTGACTATTCTCATCTGCAAACTGTTCCATGACATCACCACCAACTAAGCTAAGTTTCAGCTGAGCTCAGCTAATGCAGTTGTACATCTGTGCCTGCAGGTTGCTGACTAAAGTGCCACTGAACTCATGTTCATAACCGGAAGATTTCTTTCTTACAAGAAATGCTGTCTTTTGGATTTGTTAAATCTGCTTGCTGAAGTGGACACTATTTCATAAGTCTACTTGAAGAGCAGGGAATTTTTCCAGTATTCATTCCTCAGTTAGTACCAAAAGTAGGTGACCTGGTAAATGATTTGTTATTCAAGAAACCTTGTTGCATAAAAATTGAAACCATGCGTGCCTGCAGAACAGGGACTGAATTTTTTAGAAGTGATACGATGTGACTTTCATATAGTGCAAAACTTCTTTCACAACCATCACTGTTTACCCTTTTGCCCTTCCTGTGCATTTCCCTTATTCTGTTCCACGGATGGTAACAGAATTTTCAGTCAACTCAGTCCTACTTTGCCAAATGCTTTTTTAAACCAATTTTAACACTCAAGTCTCCCAACGCAGTTTCTGCATCCACTCCTCTTTCATCTATTTTTCTGTATCTTAAGCTTATATTTAAAAAAAATTTATGTTTCCAAAACATTTTTGTACTTTTTGGTGAACTTACCATCATTAACTCGATAGCACAAGTTACATTTCCATCTTCTTTGGTCCAGAAAGTTGACAAAAGGATTTATGTAAGTTCTGCAAGAACGACATCTCACAATGGTACTCGATGTAACCACAGGCAATTGCTGCAACATGATGCATACACACTAAGTACTAGTGATATGGTCATAGTTTTGTTTAAAGAAAATTGCATGAAAGGATATACTTTAAAGTGAGTGCTCCTTTGAAATTAAAACCGACATGCATAAATTAAATAGGGTTAGCACAGCAATGATCAACAATCCAATATGTGCATACAGCCTCAGTTTCCCTAATCACAGCGCTCCTAATCACAACTAGATTGCTGAGTGGGGAAGCCATGTTGAAGACAGGCTGCTCCACACCTGACGAGGCTTGGAATGTTGAACCAAAGCACATTTTATTCTAAAAGATGAATTGTGTCACACCATAGGAATATTAGTTATGACTTACTGACAGATCTCTGAATGGATGCAGCTGTAATCCTAAAGGAAGCTTAGCTTTGCTCAATAAGGACTGAGTTTGAGGGATGTTGGTTAATGTACACCGGAACACACTGAAACAAAAATATTTCACTTCAGCAAAATTAAATATGAACAAATCAATTTTTTTTTCCATTTTAGCTGAGAAGAGAAAATCAGTCAGAATGCTATAATCTAACTCGATGTTACAAAGAAGGTAGCAGGTAGCAAGTAGCAAGTTTTGTGAAGGGTAGGTCGTGCCTCACAAACCTTATTGGGTTCTTTGAGAAGATGACCAAACAGGTGGATGAGGGTAAAGTGGTTGATTTGGTGTATATGGATTTCAGTAAAGCGTTTGATAAGGTCCCCCACGGTAGGCCATTGCAGAAAATACGGAGGCATGGGATTGAGGGTGATTTAGTGGTCTGGATCAGAAATTGGCTAGCTGTAAGACGACAGAGGGTGGTGGTTGATAGGAAATGTTCATCCTGGAGTTCAGTTACTTTTGGTGTACTGCAAGGATCTGTTTTGGGGCCACCGTTGTTTGTCATTTTTATAAATGACCTGGATGAGGGCGTAGAAGGATGGGCTAGTAAATTTGCGGATGACACCAAAGTCGGTGGAGTTGTGGATAGTGCCGAAGGATGTTGCAGGTTACAGAGGGACATAGATAAGCTGCAGAGCTGGGCTGAGAGGTGGCAAATGGAGTTTAATGCAGAAAAGTGTGAGGCAATTCACTTTGGAAGGAGTAACAGGAATACAGAGTACTGGGCTAATGGTAAGATTCTTGGTAGTGTGGATGAGGAGAGAGATCTCGGTGTCCATGTGCATAGATCACTGAAAGTTGCCATCCAGGTTGATAGGGTTGTTAAGAAGGCATACGGTATGTTAGGTTTTATTGGTAGAGGGATTGAGTTTCGGAGCCACGAGGTCATGTTGCAGCTGTACAAAACTCTGGTGCGGCCGCACTTGGAGTATTGCGTACAGTTCTGGTCGCCGCATTATAGGAAGGATGTGGAAGCATTGGAAAGGGTGTAGAGGAGATTTACCAGGATGTTGCCTGTATGGAGGGAAGGTCTTATGAGAAAAGGCTGAGGGTTTTGAGGCTGTTTTCGTTAGAGAGAAGAAGGTTAAGAGGTGACTTGATAGAGACATACAAGATGATCAGAGGATTAGATAGGGTGGACAGCGAGAGCCTTTTTCCTCGGATGGTGATGGCTAGCACGAGGGGACATAGCTTTAAATTGAGGGGTGACAGATATAGGACAGATGTCAGAGGTAGGTTCTTTACTCAGAGAGTAGTAAGGGCGTGGAATGCCCTGCCTGCAACAGTAGTAGACTCGCCAACTTTAAAGGCATTTAAATGGTCATTGGATAAACATATGGATGATAATGGAATAGTTTAGGTTAGATGGGCTTCAGATTGGTTCCACAGGTCGGCGCAACATCGAGGGCCGAAGGGCCTGTACTGCGCTGTAATGTTCTGGATACTGGATTTGGGGAAAAAAAAGAAAGTGGGGGAAATTTAAGGATGACCAGACATTTGGCAAAGGCTACTAAAGTGTTCTGCGATTATTGCTACATTCAACAAACTGGTCACTTATACCATTTTAGGCCCAAGCCTATTTAGGCAGAGGAACAGTGAATTATCAGTACCTACTGAACAACAGCCCCTTCCGGAGGGAACAAATGAGGAGAAAACAAAAATTCAAGAAAGCTCCACAGGAGAGAGTACACTAGTTAAAGTCTCAACTTTGAAACATTCTTTATTCACTGCTACATGACTTGCTGAAACATTTAAGAGGGAACTAAAATTCCTGATTCAGCAAAGGGAAAATGGTGAAGTAAGATTTGAAAACAGAACCTCAAGGAGTTCTTTCGTAAGCAAGTTATCACAAATACTGCTTCAACTGATTAAGGACACGTTTCAAATAATAGTACTGCAATTGGGTCCCATGGTGGTTAGATAAAAGAGCAGAAAGCAAACGTAAATTTACTATTAGGGTTAGATTTGGCTTACAAAATCCTTTACTTCAAAATCACAACATTTGTTTGGTGAAGAAATGGATATTAGAAACTATTACTACTTACTCTGGATTGCAGTTTAGTTCCTGCAGATCCTTGTGCAGGTTTGCATGAGGGGCTTTGACTGGAGTTGAAGGCAGGACGTTTCTCTCCTGCAGGAGATTCAGAGGTCGTGCTGCCTCTGATTGTTGACCCTGCTGCAAGCTAAGTCCACCCATGCCAGCCATTAGTTGATTAAAATGTGGAGCCTGAAGAAAATAGGTTTTACTATGAGAAGAATACGTTGCAAACACAGACAAGACATAGATTAATCACCTTCTCTAAAAGCTATTTGAAGCAGGGACAACTGTTTTTTTTAAAAACAGCATGCAGTAGACTGCTGTAATAGTTTTTTGCATGTATTATGCTATAAGAAATTTTGTGCCAATCCACGTTTTCTAAGGTTTTTGCATAATTCCCATAATACGTGCTTTTTAATATATAGAATTCCTACAGTGTGGAAATAGACCCTTCAGCCCAACAAGTCCACACCAACCCTCGGATTATCCCACCCAAATCCATCCCCCTATAACTCACCTAATCTACACATCCCTGAACACTATGGGCAATTTAGCATGGCCAATCCACCTAACCTGCACATTTTTGGACAGTGGGAGGAAACAGGAGCAGCCGGAGGAAACCCACACAGACATGGGGAGAACGTGCAAACTACACACAGACAGTCGCCTGAGGCTGGAATCGAACCTGGGTCCTTGGTGCTGTGAGGCAGCACTGGTAACCACCGTATCACAACTTTTTACTGAAAACAGACAAATGGTCATCTAATGGAGTTCATCCATGATGGCCACTGAAAAGAAGTGTCAAACATATTGACTCAATTCCTTTAAAATTCTCAGATGTGCATCATCTGTTCTCAAACCGGTTGTGAAAATAAATCTCAAGAGTGCCACAGTAATGAGATTATGAAAGCTCAGTCTCAAAGCAGCAGTGGCACTATGGAATTGTTACTAGGTCTACAGCAGCTGATCATACTGTTACAAAAGAGGCAGAAGGAAAATTTTGGTATTATCTTTGCATCATGCAATGAAATGGGTTTCAATTTAACATCTCGACAGATAATCCCTCACTGAATTAGGAGTGACTTTTCACGGGGTAGTGATAGAATGTTGTTTTTAATCAATGGAAAACAGGTGCTGCAAGATTTCTGAAGTAATACAAGGACAGACTAATACCAATGTTTGCAAAGTTTGGCCTTATGAAGAACAGAAAAAATACAATGTAGCAAATAAAAACGGGCAAACAGGCAGTCTTCACCATATGTTTCATGGAAGTGTGCTACACAAGCAGAGTACCATACTTCAGCAAAAACAACTATGAAGGCCTGACTAATAAACAGGCTGATACATTATTCAATAAAAGTGGGATCATAAGTAAAAGACTTCCCAACATATTTTATACATTTTATTGTTTGCATATGGTAGAAAATCACTGTCTTTACTGATGAGAATGTGCATTTTTAAAACTACTGACTTTTAGGAAAAAGAAAGACATTTTCTTCTCTGGTTTTGCTCCATAACATCACAAGCAACTTGCACCTAGATCTTCAGCAAACATGACTCCACAATCAACAGCATAATAAGCAGAGCAAAATTGAAATAACTTCTGTTACTCCTCTTTGAGTGGCTGCTTTGTCTTAATTTGAGTTTCTATTGGTTTTAAGACATCACCAGCAGGAGCGTGGGTCACACAAATCCATGATTGCTAGGGGTTTGCATCACCTTTAGAGATAAAATTCTAAGTTTCCTAGTATCAACACAGAAAACATTAGCACCTCACATACCTGAGAGTGTTGCTGTGGTCCTTCTGTATTTACCAGCTGACCACCTGGGATTCCAGAGCTGGCCATGCTTTGGTAGCCAGGTGGTAAGGCGGGATAAGAGGAGCCAAGTGTCCTTCTAGCTTTGAGACCTTGTTGAATTGGCTGCACTGTAATGCAAATAGGGGAAAAAAAAAGTGCAAGGTTACTTAAATGTTGGTTAGAACACAGTAACATTCCATTCAGCATTACAAGCACGTTTCAGTGAATGCTACAAGCACTAGGGTGGATGCCCAATAGGATAAAGAAAAATTCTTAATCTCAGGCCAAAATCAGTTTTGTTTTAAAAAAATGGTGGCCCTATTGGCATCACACCACGGCCTTGTGCATAATTATAGACCTATTTCTATACAGACTTGAAAAGTAGCAATTCAGATTATAGTCTTGCATTTAAACAATACGAGGAGCTTTACTAAAAATGATTATTTCCCCTCTCAAATGTCACGATAAAGTAGTTATGCTGACCCCAAAAGATGACATTCCTAACTTGTAATCCAGTTGCAATATAATTTATTTTCACCCAACATCTAGCAACAAAAATTAACAATTTAATAAGTGTAGTACTTACTAATTTCACCTCCTCCTTCCAAACTATCATAATGGTCAATTGTCGATTGATCACCAGATGACCCAGTGCTTACTGCTTAAAAGATTTTAAAAAAATTTGATACAAGTTTATTTAGTTGGAAACAAATTGCAATTCTTCAACATTTAAAACTATTGCAGTGTCACTTTAATAACAAAACATATTTCTGTAATTTACACATCCTTCAATTACTCCATCTTTGTCCAGTCATCTAAAATATCGATATTGCTCCAGTTTTGGCCTCTTGCACAAGCCTAATTTTAAATCGGAGACAGCAAAGACTGCACATGCTGGAAGCTAGAGTCAATAAATGTGGAACTGGAAAAGCACAGCCGGTCGGACAGCATCCGAGGAGCAGGAAAGTTGGGGGTTTCAGCCCGAAACGTTGACTTTCCTGCTCCTTGGATGCTGTCTGACAAGCTGCGCTTTTCCAGCTCCACATTTATTGACCTTAATTTTAAACTGCATTGGTGTTGCAACTGTGCTTTCAGTCATTGAGGTCAAAAATCATATACACTAGGCTAGAGTCAAACAGGTTTATTTGAAGACACAAGCTTTAGGAGTCAAACTCCTTCTTCAGGCGTCAGCAAGAGAGGCTGTATCAGACACAAAATTTATAAGCAAAAAAATCAAAGGATCACAGAACTGATGCAGTGTTGAACAAACCTAAGATGACAGTTAAATCTTTAATCAGTTATAAAATACTAATACACAAATTCCCGAAGTTCTTTCAAGTCACTGCCCTGAGATAACTAAAGGTTTATCAGTTCCCTCAGTACACCTGAGGTGACATCCCAGATCAGACAATGCATTTTAGGTGTGGGACCTTATTTAGAATCTGGCTGTGTATCAACTTGGAGTCAGACTGGTTTTATTTCCAAAGAAAGAATTTATAAAATGCCACATTGTGCGCATTTTCAACAAAATAGAACGTATCTGCAATTACAAGTCTGCAGTTAGAGACTCTAAGTTCTGGGATTCCCTTTCGAAGTGCTTCTTTCCTTCTTTAAAACCTCCTTAAACTGCACCAATTCTGCGTTATCACTACCTCAGGACTCAAAATTGGCTTGCCTATGCTCCTATGAAATAACTCAGGATAGGTTGGGATGTTAAATTACTGCATGACTGCAAGTACTTTAACTACTTCAAAAGACAAATGAATTTCAAAAAGGCAAATGAAATCCACTGAAACATATCAGCAAACAGTTTTTTTAAATTCATTCATTTGTGGGATATGGGCATCACTGCTGGCCAGCATTTACCGTGCCTTGTTGCACTTCAGTAGGTGATGGTGAGCTGTCTTCTTGAAACGCTGAAGTTCATCTGCTGTGGATTGACCCACAATGCCATCAGTGGAGGAATTCCAGGATTTCGACCCAGCAATAGCGAAGGAATGGCGATATATTTTGGTTAGTATGGTGAGTGGCTTGGAGGGGAACTTCCAGGTGTTGTTCCCGTGCATCTGCTGCCCTTGTCCTTCAAGGTGAAAGTGGTTGTGGGTTTGGAAGGCACTGTCTGAGGATCTTTGGTGAATTTTTCCACTGCATCTTATAGATGGTGCACGCTGTTGCTACTGAACATTGGTGGTGGAGGGAGTGGATGCTTGTGGTTGTACTGCCAATCAAGCAGGCTGCTTTGTCCTGGATTGTCAAGCTTCTTGAGTGTTGTTGAAGCTGCACTCATCCAGGCAAGTGGGGAGTATTCCATAACACTCCTGACTTGTGCCTTTTGATGGTGAACAGGCTTTGAGTGAGAGGAGTATTCCTAACCTCTGATCTGTGCTTATAGCCACTGTGTTTATGTGGTGAGTCCAGTTGAGTTTCTGGTCAATGATAAACCCCAGGATGTTGACAGTGGGGGATTCAGTAATGGGAACACCACTGAATGTCAAGGGGCTATGGTTAGATTGCCTGTTATTGGTGATGATCAGAGCCTGGTATTTGTGTAGTACGAATGATACTTGCCACTTGTCAACTCAAGTCTCGATATTGTCCAGATCTTGTTGCATTTGGGCACGGACTGCTTCAGTATCTGAGGCATCACAAATGGTGACTAACATTGAAAAATCTTTCACAAACATCTCCACTTCTGACCTTATGATGGAGGGAAGGACATTGATGAAGCAGCTGAAGATGGTTGGGACTAGTACACTACCCTGAGGAGCTCCTGTGGAGATGTTCTGGAGCTGAGACGACTAACTTCCAACAATCATGACCATCTTCCTATATGTCAGGTATGACTCCAACCACTGGAGAGTTTGCCCCCGATACGTACTGATTTCAGTTTTGCTAGTGCTCCTTGATGCCACACTCAGTCAAATGCAGCCTTGATGTCAAGGGCTGTCACTCTCGCCTCACCTCTGGAATTCAGCTCTTTTGTCCCTGTTTGAACCAAAGCTGTAATAAGGTCAGGAGCTGAGTGGCCCTGGCAGAACCCAGACTGGGTGTCACTGAGCAGATTATTGCTGAGCAGGTGCTGCTTGATAGTAGTGATGACACCTTCCGTTACTTTACTGATGGGGTAGTAACTGGCCAGTTGGATTTGCCTTGGTTTTTATGTACAGGACATACATACTTGGGCAATTTTCCACATTGCTGCATAGATGTTAGTATTGCAGTTATACTGGAAGAGTTCGGTTTATGGAGCGGAAAGATCTGGAGCACAAGTCTTCAGTACTATTGCCAGGATGTTGTCAGGCACCATAGACTTTGCAGTATTCAGGCGTCTCCAACTGCTTCTTGACATCACATGGAATGAAGCGAATTGGCTGAAGACTGGTATCTGTAATGCTGGGAACTACTGGAGGTGGCCACGATGGATCATCCACTTGGCACATCTGGCTGTAGATTGCTGCAAAAGCTTCAGCCTTATCCTTTGGACTGATATGCTGGGCTCTTCCATCATTGAGGATGGGGATATTTGTGGCGCTTTGTCCTCCAGTGAGTTGACCACCATTCACAACTGCAGAGCTTAGATCTGATCCACTGGTTGTGGGATCGCTTAAGTCCATCTTTCACTTGCTGCTTATGCTGTTTGGCATGCTAGCAGTCCTGTTTGGTGGCTTCAACAGGTTTACACCTCATCTGCAGGTATGCCTGATGTTATTCCTGACATGTGCTCTTGCACTCTTCATTGAACCAGGGCTGATCCCCTGGCTTGATGGTAATGGTTAAGTGGGGGATATGCTGGGCCACAAGGTTACACACTGTGTTGGAGTACAATTCTGCTGCTGTTGATGGCCCACAGCACCTTATTGGTGCCCAGTCTTGAGTTGCTAGATCTGTTCCAAGTCTATCCTATTTGACATAGCTGATAGCGTCACACAACACAATGGAGGTTATTCTCAACGTGAAGGCAGGACTTAGTCTCCACAAGGACTGTGCAGTGGTCGCTCTTATCGATATCGTAATGGATAGATGCATCTGCAGCTGACATATTGGTAAGGATGAGGTCAAGTATATTTCTCCCTCTTGTTTGTTCCCTCATCACCTGCTGTAGACCCAGTCTAGCAGCTATGTCCTTTAGGACTCCATAAGCACAATCAGTAGTACTACTACCAAGCCACTCTTGGTGGTGTATTACAAATCTTTCAGGTAAAATTATCTGCCTGTTGAATAAATGTTTGTAGTCGTAGCTTTCAATTCACAGCAGCATGTTTTGTAACTACTTTAGCATTACAGTGGACAAATATTGAATATCAAGTGAGAAAGACTCATTCCAAAATCACAAGCAGTCAAGAGATTTCAGTAAGATAGTAGGAACTACCGATGCTGGAGAATCCGAGATAACAAGGTGTAGAGCTGGATGAACACAGCAGGCCAAGCAGCATCAGAGGAGCAGGAAAGCTGATGTTTCGGGTCTGGACCCTTCTTCAGAAAATAT